TTTATTTGACAGAGAGAGACACAGCGAGAGAGGGAACACAAGCAGGGGGAGTGGGAGAGGGAGAAGCAGGCTTCCCGCAGAGCAGGGATCCTGATGCCAGGCTCGATCCCAGGACCCTGGGATCATGACCTGAGCCGAAGGCAGTCGCTTAACCGACTGAGCCACCCAGGTGCCCCGCTCTGCTTTTTCTAAGAATGGCTCAAAGCTGCTGGCTAATGTGAGACCAGAGGCAAGCAGGGACCATCTGTAGGCCAGGCTTATGGGTCAGCGAGGAGCCCGGGGCCTTGTCTTAGCTCCTCCACTGGCTCTGGGACCCGGGGCTCCCCACGCTGGAGGCTGCGGTTGCCTCGTTTGTGAATTAGTAACAGCGCCAGGCCAGCCTTCGGAAACGTCCCGCGTGCCAGACGCGGCTGTGCGTGCCCCGTGTGCGTTCGCCGCTCCGCGGTCTCGCGGCTGCGTGTGATACAGGCGGGACCCCTCTGCCTCCGCCCGCCGCCGCTTGCCCCGGGTCACAGGCCTCGGGAGGCCTCGCCCTTGCCCTGCACCTTCCTGCTCGGTTGCGCGGCGGGGCCGTCGTCCCTGCAGAGACGGGAGCTGCAGCCCGCGATCCCTTGAGTGAGCTCGGTGGTGGGACCACGCGGGGCATGCCCACACGCCCCCACAGTGCCAGCGCCCTGGGCTCCTCGGGGGACCTTTACTAAGCTGCCCGAGACTGGCTGCAGCCTGGAACGCCCCAGGATGCCGTGGGGGACATGGGGGACAGCGTTGGTTGTGCAAACATCAGCTTCTTCATTGAGACGGGAATGGTCGACAGCAAGGGGCACCGCCTCGCGGGGAATGTGCCAGAATCCTGGCCCGGCGCTCTGGGCCCCACGAGGCTCTGCAGGCCCAGCAGGGGCACACGCGCGTCTGTCCGCCGGGTTGGTGTGCAGGCACGGCGGCTCGAACCCTTGCCGCGCTGACGGTCTCGAGACGAGCCGCGGGGTGGTGACGGCACTTAGCCTCCGTGCGCCATCCCTCTCGCGGCCCCACAACGCCCCTGTCTCAGAAAGGACCTGGCAGTTGAAGAGATGACAGACATGTATTAGACCCTCCTGACTTCTTTTTTTTTAGAGATTTTATTTATTTATTTGACAGAGAGAGACAGAGAGGGAACACCAGCAGGGGGAGCGGGAGAGGGAGAAGCAGGCTTCCCGCCAAGCAGGGAGCCCGATGCGGGGCTCGATCCCAGGACCCCGGGATCATGACCTGAGCCGAAGGCAGACGCTTAAAGACTGAGCCACCCAGGCGCCCTAGACCCTCCTGACTTCTTTCCCCTTCTTTTTTGAGTTGATGTTCTGAGAGTGGTATCTACACGTGGTACCAAAAAAGAAAGTTAACACTACTTTAAAAACGCACCTCTCTTCATCCTGCTGAGAAGCAGCACCTGCTGCCTGCGTCGACGTGCGTTCCCTTAGTGGGGGGCCCTGCGCTGGGGGGCCCTGCTGAGTCCATCCTTCCTCTCACCCCCCACCCCTGCAGATTACCAGCTGAGCAGTGCCGAGCTCTCCTCCCTCCCAACCTTCAGCTCGCCTGGGGGGCTGTCGCTAGGCAGTGTCACCGCCTGGCCTCAGCCCGCACAGCCGCCCCA